GTTCTGGATCTGTTCAAATGCCCTTGAAGCTTATTAAAAGTGTCTGGCAAAGGGAGATGCTAGCAAAGTTGTTTAATAGATGCCCAGCTTGCATATCCTGTGACAGTTTAATGCTGGGATGAACCATCTCTGATATGGATGTGGGGTTGCAGTAGGTCCATTATTGATCTAATCTTCATTATAGAGATGTAGTTTTTCAGCTCATGAGAAGCCTGGACATTGGACATCTGAGTGAAAACAAACAAGTAATAGTTCATTCACTCAGCTATATTGGAAAAGTTACTTTGTGTTTATTTCTATGAGGCTGATCTAATATTCATAAAGAAACAGGAAGACCATTATAGCTTAATAAAAAAGTATAGTAGAATGTACAGTATAAAAACTTAAAAATTAACATCACATGCAAAACATGCGTGAATAAATAAATATCAAAACTGTTTGGAGCCAACTCACTGCAGAATTTACCATTTTCAATGAAATACTGTATGCATGGTTTCCTAATGGTCCTATCTGCAAGCCATTGATATTGTTTTGACAATTTACTGCTAATTTGTTGCAATCCTACTTTTGTGTCTAATATCATATCTGCCCTCCTCATGTGTAAAGTCCATGTAAAGTAGCAGTAGTTTTTCACACTACAGCTGGCGTCACATCATTAGACTTGGCCTTCTAATTTCCGCCACAGACTCTGAGTCATTTCCATCAACTAACAATGGAAAGGATAGATACAAAATGTTTAGCAGAACCTTTTCCTCTTCATCTCCACATCACCGCATTTACCCTGCATCTCTATTCTGGGTTGTTTCTAAGGTTTAAGCATAGTTATGGTTCTACCCACCTGCAAAACAGCTTGTGGCTACTGTTTGAGCTGAAGCCGAAATATTTCCACAGTTATTTTTGACCGTACTGCTGGAGCAGCTGAAGGAAGACCCATGATGGCATGTAGCCTCTGGTTTAGACATGAAATCCGGAAACACAGAAATAATCAAACTCAATTTTCTAATTCAAACTTTGCAACTCAATTGTAAAAGAGTTAGAGGCCTTTGACATTTAGAGCAATTTAGAGCAATTCATGTATGACATTTATATTGTGTTTAGAAGAAAATGGTACAACTCAATTTACATGGTCTTTAAGGAGTGTAAGGCAACTGATTTTAAGTCACATGGCTTGAGGTGAGTAGCTCTGGCTTATAAATACCTCTATCTCTACACACCTTCATATCAAATGGAGTGAGTGTATACTGTCCGTAGTTTTAACAGTTTCCTTTAACCTTCATTTGACCTATCATCTAAAAAACTAATGTCAACTTACCACTCAGAACCTGTCCCTATTCCATGGTTGGAGGCGCCGGGAAGCTCAGTCACACCAGGAGCCTCGGGAATCTCAGCTATGAATGACCTCTATGACTGAGGGTCGCTGGCCTCCTCCACAGAACCTTCCCCTCAATCCCCCCTGTTCCTCTGCCTTTCATGATCTCTCTCCACTGTGATCTCTCTCCATGTTAATACGTTCACTGTGAGTTGAAGTGCTGCTTTCAGTCGATCTGTTAATCACAACTAAGACCATGTTTAGAGCTCACTGGCTGTTCCTCTTCTTCAGCTCCCACCACCTCCATAAGGTGGTTTAAGAAAAAAAAAATTAGAACAGGATGCGTTTAAATCTAAATTTAAATTAACTTAATATATATAATTGCTTAGGATATGCTGTTTCTTGCAATATATCTTACTTTGTTTCTGTTTTAATAAACAGGAACATTTTAATCATTGTAAGTCTGTTTTAAATAATTACATTCATGTACATTCCATTTAGTTTGAGTAAAGTAAATTTGATGCAAACTGTTAAATAGCCCTTTAGTTCAATGGCAANAAAGAGTTAGAGGCCTTTGACATTTAGAGCAATTTAGAGCAATTCATGTATGACATTTATATTGTGTTTAGAAGAAAATGGTACAACTCAATTTACATGGTCTTTAAGGAGTGTAAGGCAACTGATTTTAAGTCACATGGCTTGAGGTGAGTAGCTCTGGCTTATAAATACCTCTATCTCTACACACCTTCATATCAAATGGAGTGAGTGTATACTGTCCGTAGTTTTAACAGTTTCCTTTAACCTTCATTTGACCTATCATCTAAAAAACTAATGTCAACTTACCACTCAGAACCTGTCCCTATTCCATGGTTGGAGGCGCCGGGAAGCTCAGTCACACCAGGAGCCTCGGGAATCTCAGCTATGAATGACCTCTATGACTGAGGGTCGCTGGCCTCCTCCACAGAACCTTCCCCTCAATCCCCCCTGTTCCTCTGCCTTTCATGAAGATGGTGCTCCATCAAAAAACGGTCACCACTGTGATCTCTTTCAATGTTCTTTATGTTGACTGTGAGTTAAAGTGCTGCTTTCGGTCGAACTGTTAATCACAACTAAGACCATGTTTAGAGCTCTGTTCCTCCTCTTCAGCCTCCATAAGGTGATTTGGGGCGACAGTGGCGTTGGATGTAGGAGATTGCCCTAAAATCGAAGGGTTGACGGTTCAAGCCCTGACTCTAACTTTCAGTGTTGTTGTGTCCTTGGGCAAGACACTTCACCTGCATTGTCTACTGATGGTGGTCAGAGGGCCTGGTGGCGCCAGTGTACGGCAGCCCCGCTTCTGTCAGTGAGCCCCAGGGCAGCTGTGGCAACAATGTAGCTTGCCACTATCAGTGTATGGGTGAATGAATGTAGTGTAAAGTGCTTTGGTCATGTCTCCAGACTTGAATAAAGGCGCTATATAAGTACATGCCATTTAAGAAAGTCTGCATTTAAATGTAAATTAGCTTAATATATATAATTGCTTAGGATATGCTGTTTCTTGCAATATATCTTACTTTGTTTCTGTTTTAATAAACAGGAACATTTTAATCATTGTAATTCTGTTTTAAATAATTACATTCATGTACATTCCATTTAGTTTGAGTAAAGTAAATTTAATGCAAACTGTTAAATAGCCCTTTAGTTCAATGGCAAAAAAGAGAAAAATCAGATAATTTAAGCCTAGTTAGCCAATGGTCATGTGAGGTCAAATGTCCTGTAGTTTAAACATTTTAAACTACATACCCCAAGTGGGGTCGCGAGGGGTGCTGGTGCCTATCTCCAGCTATCCACAGGCGAGAGGCAGTTTTTCAACTGGACATTGAAATATTTGCACAGAAACTAATTAAAAAAGGGGTGTGGCTTGATTTATTGCCATCATATCATATAAATTCTGTATAATATGACTCTTGTTCTAGCAAAAATAGCTTTAAATTTCACAATGAATGTTTTATTTTAAAAAAAGGGAAAGCGTGGATATTTAATAGGCAGCATTTTGTGTCACCACTGATGAATCATTTGTTCAGACAGACAGATGCTAATGTCCCATTCGGTGAAGGCAGGAGAATCTTTTCCCAGGTCCCCCGGAGTGCTGGAGGCTCCCTAAATAGGCCTAACACAAGGGTGTGTAGAATGGGACCGCACAGGGTGATGGGTAATGGAGTCATTAATAACAAAGACCTCCCTTAAGATGCTCAGATGTTCGTTAGTGAGTGCCACGAGGGAGTAAGAAAAAATAGGATGCAATTTGATACAATATAAAAAAAAAAAACAGTGCAAGCTTTGAAAGATAGTCGTGCTTGTGCTGCCATAGGACCTGTCTGATGGGTTAAATGTTCTCTTTCTCACACACATGCAAAGAGCTTTTAGAAATCCAGCAAACACTAGAGGCATGTCCTCATACAGTTTTTTTTTATTATTTCCATCACATGTGCAACACAAAAAAATGAGCTCTGCCAAATACAGAACTCTATATTTTACAATACATTTCAATAACATCAGAGATAACTTTCCTTTTGGCTTCAGGAGATGGTGGTTTCCTGTAAACTGTATACGAATTATTTCAGTCAAAATGTCAAAACATAAAAGTTTCATACAAAAGTGCATCTCAGGTTCAATGAATGCAAAACATTTATAATACAGGGTGGATTCGGAGTTTTATATGGTGGCTTCCAGTTTGAGTGTTGGGCGATGAGATGGTGCAAAGAAAGAGGGATGGGTGGGCACTCTCCAGGAGTGGAGCCAGGGATTTGGAACTAGCCATTTTGGAACTGCGTTGGAATCCCCGAGACAGTCTGAGATGAGACTCAGTCTTCATGCCCCTAAATTCAAATTGTTGAAAATACACCAATAACAAAACATGAAAAAAAAAAAGGAAAATTCCAGTAATCTTCTGGCTTCAACAAGCAGTAAACATTAATAACGAAAATGTACAGGTTGAATCAGTGAGCTGGAGATTTCCCCATGCTCTGAGAGCCACATGGGAGCTTCACGCCTCTATTCACGAGCCAACCAGAGGAGCTAGCCTTTTCTAAATCTGTGTCACTGCGTTTGCATATATCAGCATCCTGCCTGTCCCCTGACCTGTTAGTTTTTTTCCCCCTCTTCTCTATTTTTTTCTCCTGAATCTCACATGAATTTCAGCATAGACAAAGCAGATTTGTTGCGCTGTCATCCCATAGCTCGTCCTCTGGCAGCCATGCTTGTTGTATGACAGACACACAGACAAGATATCTGCCTACGCTGGTGAATCGAGATCCCGTTTTTACAGGTTTACCTCATCATGATTGACTGTGTCTGCATTTATCACGAAGGAGTGCCAGTAATGAAAAGAGTCCTGTGCTCCCAGTGGCACCCCGCTTCTTACAATGGATCAAAACCCATTTTTTGTTTAACAGATTTAATGATATTTTTTTTTCCCTCCTTTATTCTTTTTTTTTTAGACAAACATTTTAACTGTACATTGGCAAATACTGTATAAGATTGTAATATACCTGTAAATAAGCAACACATGAGGAAATTCTATGTACAAAGAAGATTACCTTTTCTTTATTTGGACACAATTACCAGCAAAGAACACAGAGGTTTCTTTTAAGTTCTTTCACTGTTTCTGTAACTTCTTTTTTTTCTTCCTTCTTCTGTAGTGTTTTTTTTCTGACAGCGTGGCTGAATCGAAAGTTCAGAACAAGTCAGTCAGTGGGAAAACGCTCCGACGATAATTGGCGGTCAGGCATTGTTCTGTGCGTCATGCAATCCTTGTTCTTGGTCACGGCACTGAGCTCTGCCACGTTAGCTGCTGTGCTGAGTCAATGTGTGGTTCTGCAAAACATACAAAAAATGCAGGAGAAACATTATTACTCAAAGCAAATGCACCCTTTTCCTGATATGTATATATATATATATATATATATATATATAAAGATGAGAGAGAGATACTGTAGAGTCAGCAAGGTTTTAAAGTTGTAGTTTATTTAGGATAATAGGCTGTCAAACTTGCTCCTTCAATTGTAAATTAACAGCAAATAACAGTTGTGTGACATTTGATGTGTATCTTTTTATGCCTATTTGAGTTACACTCCCTATACAATTTCAACAGAACATTATTTAGAATATTTCAAACCAGCCTGTTTCCAGTTCTGATCTAACCACATCATTTAGCACAACTGACAGATTGTTTCCTACTCCCAGTCAAAGCCTGCCACCATGACAACAAATCCATAACAAAGCCCTGACACACCTGATATAAAATATCTTCCTTGGGGGTACCCCCATTTAATGAATGTACTATAGATGTATCCTGTAGATGAAAAAAGTTAAGAGGTACAGTTGAGACCGCTGATGATTTGATCCTCCACACTTTTGTGAGTATATTTTGCTGCACAGTTAACCATGACACCATCACAAGGTACGAATCTAAAACTCTGTTAGGCTGTTTCATTGAAGTATATGCATATGCACTCACACACAAACAGATACACAGAGTTGAGAGTGGGGTTGTAGTGGGGCAGCTGTGCCAGATTCTTTAAAGGGAGCGTGGACCAGGGTGTGTGTAACGGGTGTCCCTGGTGGGCTGAATCCAGGTCATCTTTTGAAGTGACTGCTAATCCCTTTAATGCAAACTACATGCCCCACTTGCTGTGCTCTGTTTAAAACATGGCCTTGGACTCTCTAAACTGCCATTGACTAAACACACCTGTCACACAGTCATCATCCCACATGCATGCAGAAATACACAAAGATCACAGTGGACTTGTCCCTTTTTGATTTCACACATGCAATCACAGGCCGATTAATCAGGTGCACCTGTTAAATTGCTTTCCAACAAGTGAAACCAGCCAATCACAAAGCAGAAACTCCATGTATATAGGCATTTAAGTTGGAATCAAGTTTACAGGGGTCATAAGTAAAGAGAAAATGTCTGTTCAGCAGATATGTGTGTCTTGTTTTGTGGACAAAAGCAACCAATGTATGCAAGATAATATCTGAACATACAGCATGTTGGACCTACTGAGTTCTTTTTGAAGGTATTGCATCAAAAGACCATAGAAGGCGACTCCTGTCAGGCAATAACATTAAACTAAGGTTTCGATTCACAAAAAGCTTTTTAAAAAGAGACAACAACTAATTAAAAGACGTAACCTGGTTCAGTGAGTAATTTAATCTACAAGGTCCAGATGGTAGGGTCAGAATTCAGCCTAAACAGCATTAATGCAGGGATCCATAACGCCTGGTACCCATGCTTCAAGCTTTTGGCAGGGGTGTGATGATCTGGGGGAATATTCTTAGCACAATTTGGGGCACAGGTTAAACCATGACTATTTCTACGACCTCAGTATACCGATCTTCTGATAGCTACAACCATCATGATACTGGCTCACTACCAATGGGTTTCCTGACAACGTCAATGAGTTCATTTTAATCCATTGTCCTCCACAGTCACTGGTTTAATTACTATTACATATTTCCCCCAACGTTGGTGAAGCGGTTTACCAAAGTAGATACCTTCAATACGGTTGATACTGAATCCCTCAGGCAGGACTGAGAGGTGGCTATTAGCCCCCCCCCCTTGAATTCGCTCTTTACGCTTTTACCATTTCAGCTGCCTCCACATAAAGCATTTAAACACCTCAACAGTTTTCCTTTTAGCCAGCGTGATTACATCCCGACAGGTGGGGTAATAAGCTGTTTGACGGGGAGCAGGACTATGACCCCGGTACAGGTTAACGCAGCTCTCCGGTGTCCTTTTTTTATAGGAGGAGGCTCCTGGACAGCTCCTCCTGCTTTCCTCTCCCCTCTCTTGCTGAAATAAAGCTCCTTTAAGTGAGTCTGGGAGGAGACTCCCTACGGGATTCTCCCTCTCTCTCCTCACCTCACCTCAACCCCCTCCTCCCCTCCGGTGAAGACATCCTTGGTGTGGCTGAGGAGGGACAGGAGCACGGCAACCTTATTAATGAATGCGGCCCATTACCCGTCAGGCTGGCTCCTCAGTGACTCCCAGAAGCCCCTGCAGTACGTGACTTCAAATGGCAGGATATTGACACGGGAGGAGAGCAAAGCAGCTAGAACTGACTGTGTGTGTGCATTTGTGTGTGTGTGTGCAAAAGAAAGAAACAGAGAGAATTTGTGCTCAACTGAGTGTGCATGCCTTTGTGTGAGTGTGTCAGTCCATCTAGGTGGGAGTGTGTGTCAGTGTTCCTCTGTCTGGACCCCAAAGGAATGTAGCTCCTTGGATATAATGTAGGGCTCGTAACAGCTATTAGAGGGGAAAATAACGCCTCTGGGGAACGCACCCCCCCCTGTCTGAATGTCCCAGCTCCGCCTGACACACACTGCATTCTACCTTTTTCCTTAAACATGCCAGGAGTTTTTACACTGAGGGCTTTCTCAAGGACGGTGTTAAACGACTTCAGTGGCTGTGGCAGCCATGCAGACTAAAGGGAAATAGAAAAAAAAAAAGGGAGAGGAAAAAAAAAACGTTCAGAGAAAATGAAACTGATACCTTTATCTCTGAGGATATTGAACTCTGCAGAGTAGCTATAAACTGTTCTGTGTATAAGTACAAAGGGGTGGAAGAGAGGGAAAGGGGAGGAAGGAAATCCGCTTTCCAATCTTTATCCTTGTCGAGTTCTTCAAGTTACTTCTGCACAATTGGTGGGTGCCCTAAATACCTACAGCGTGCAGCCCCAAATTAGATACCACACATGCAGTTAACTTCTTGCTTTTTGTAAGAAAATGAGCAAAATGTCCACTGCACCCGTAAAGAGGATGTCACTAATGGTGTCACACTAGAATTGCGGCAATTTAGGATTAGTTGCCCTCCATTAAGCCTTTTAGCTCTCATCCTAACTCCGATTCTATTCCCCCTGAAACTCTGCCATTCCCCTTATCATCCATTTCCCTCCCTTATATTCAACCCTTAATCTCCTCCTCGATCCTTTCAACCACCTGCTGGCCACACAGGCCTGCTGTAGTTACCAGCAGTGTTCTGGTAAACCGTAGCAACTCAATTCTACACTAAATTAAATTTTGCGCTGATCGATAACACACACCCGCCTTGGCCTTCTGAGGAGCAAGCACCCCTTTTCTCCTCTCTCTTCTTCGCACATCTAGGCTCCATGCTATCGCTAAACCAAGGCTTTCATCTGATTACATCACCCCAATGCAGCGCCCTCAGGGGTAGTGGAAGAGGAGGGAGAACACCCGGCAGGGGTCTGGTGTACCCATGCAAACAGGTGCAACGTGTCTTCAGGATTTAAAGCTGCTGCAGAGGGGGAGGGAGGGTGTAATGGGGAACGATTGGTGAAGGAGCAGAACCCAGGAAAGAGCAAGTCGGCTAGGGAGCTGATTTATTAACTAATCATTCTTTATGTCATTTCCCATTCCTCTGGTCTCCATCGATAGTGCACGGTCTCCAGTGAGGCAACAGAGGTGCATCTCTTGCATCAGCTCTGCAGAGAAAGGCCACTGGACTCTGAGACAGAAGCTTCTTTCATCTGATCCTGCTGTGTTAGAGAAAATCTTTAAATTGTCCACGATCATAGAGAGCAAGATGTTGTGCTTAATCCTTATCTTAAAGTTTTAGCATTATGGTAATATCTGATGAGCATGTTAAGTGTATTTTTCTGCTCTCTCTATCTGGTGTAACTTTAAAGCCAGATTTTATTGAGTGGTTGGAGACCTAGCTGTGCAATAATGACTTTTTAAACCATGGCCTTTTCACGGTTTCTCGAACAAATAAAGCCGTTTGCACCTTAAATATACGCAGAGCTAACTGGTGAATTGAACGGAATGTGTCCCATTATGCAGCTTTTCTTTTCTACAGCAATCTATATTCTAAGGAATATGTTTAAAATTACACCCTGCATAAACTTGGGACATACCTGTATATTAGTTACATTGATATTATAAAACTCTCTAATGTAAAGCCATTTCAAAAGAAACAAAATTATCAGGTGTCATAAATACTCAAAGGGGACCTCTGCCATCTTATTAACTTGATTTTTTCAGAAACGCATAGAATTTTTACACTGGTCTACTGACAAAAATAAGGCAATTTAGCTTTCCCTGGGTTTTTTTATCTGCCTGCAATTTTATAAGCAGCTGTATCACCGTCTACTTCGTCATGTATGCTGTTCCTGGGTCTAGCTTGGAAGCTACATCATGTCCATCAGGACAGACCAAGTCATCTATGTTATGAAGTCACAGTTTTTTATATATATTTAGGAACAAAAAATACAGCTGTGCTCATAGACTGTTCCAGCATATTCATAAAAAATCTAAACAGCTTGGATCAGCTGGAAGGGTGATCAGCTAGTGTATTCCACGATGTCCGAGGTGTGGTAAGGTAAAACCAGTGCATTATTTTACTACAGTAGAGCCCTGCTTTTAAATATGTTGTGAAAATATTCTAGAAAATTTCTGTAAGGTTTGAGGTCAGGTCAAGAGCCTTTTTGGAATTTTGCAGCAGAAGGGCATGGATTAAAACAACCTAGCTTTTTAGAGCCGTAGACTACACCATTTCCAATTAAGAGGTAGAAATACATTTTCTAGTTGAGGGACAGTTAACCGAGTTAAACCTCTACAACAATAATCTAAACCCGACCAAAACCACAAACATCACTCTTAGTCAGTGAGGATTTTCCATATAAGGCTGATTGAAAACACCAGTTTCTTGCCAGCACTACTCATGGGCGTGCTTCCATGGCAACACAGCACCAGGTGACCTCAATGAAAAGGAAATAGTGATGAGAACAGGAAAAAAAAACGTAAAGTTGCAATGATAAATTAATCTTAAGGTTAAAACCTTCCCCAAAAACATT